GGCTTCCCACTGCCAGAGGGCAGGGATAGATGGGATATTGGCAAGGAATTCTTCCCTGGGAGGGTGGGGAGGCCCTGGCACAGGTTGCCCAGAGAAGCTGTGGCTGCCCCATCCCTGGAAGTGTCCAAGGCCAGGTTGGATGGGGTTTGGAGCAACCTGGGCTAGTGGAAGGTGTCCCTGCCCATGGCAGGGGGTGGGACTGGATGATCTTTAAGGTCCCTTCCAACCCAAACCATTCCAGGATTCTGTGACATATCAAGACACTTTCCGGCTGAATAAAGTGCCACGGGTAACATCTGGGATTTAACCTGCTAGAAAAAACCTCACTGGCTTCATAAGTAACTTAAGAGCTGTGGGACTGTGCCTTGATGATGCAGCAGATCCCCTGGGTGGATGTGAGAGCCCCCCAAAATTCCTCCCAAAGCAGGGAAGGTTCGCTCCCTGCCTTTCACCTCCTGGCAGCCCCAGCTGTAGAAGCACGGGAGATGCTCAGAAAAGCCACGAGCAAAGCCTTGTCTAGCCAGGTCTTGGGCTGGAAAATGAAAAAGGAGTTGCAATTTGCACTTTAAATGAGTTAATGCTCCTCAAGTGCTCTCGTGTCAGAGCCGGAGTTGCAGCCAACGGCACAAAATGCTAATTCAGCTCCGCAATCAATGGGGCCTTTCTGAGAAGTGCCTGGATAATTAGGGGAGAAACAGAAAGGAGGGTTTTAAAGAGGCAAACAGCTGGAATTCATTACCTCCCTTTAGGATCTGAGCTGGCAAAGCAGTGGGTTCCTGAGGGCTGCCATGGGCAAGTTCAGGTACTCCCGGGAGCTGGGATGCAACAGGGATGGGCAGGATGCCACTCTCCATTTCACTGGAATGAAGAAGACCTAAAGGACCAGAGGGTGGAACCAGAACCAGCAGCTCATCAGATGTAGGAATGACCCAAGTTGGGCAGTGAGCACATCCCCAGTGCTGATCCATGGGAGCACCTGGGGAGGGATGTGCCCGCAGGGAACGGTGGAGTTTGGGCCAAGGGAAACAGAGCTGCAGCCCAACTATCTCCTCCTGATTCACCAGGTCTCCAAGAGAATATTTATTTAGCAATTGAATAAAAAAGATCAGTTAAAGGCATTTGGAAAGACTGCAGCAAAATATGGTCTTTCCTTGGGAGAGAATTCCTCGTCTGGTTCCCTCGTCTAATAAACGCTTTGGCATTAACGAGGCCCCTCCTCAGCATCTCTCACAGCTTTCAAAGGAGCAAAAATCACCAGGAGAAAAACCTCATGGGATGGGATGCCTATGGACATCAGCAAAGCTTTGGGGAAAACCCATAAAACTCAGTCTCTTTGAGTTTTTTCTGTGCACAGACTCAGCCCTACCCCTGAGCCCACAGTGTTTGGGGTCTGCTGTGTGGGGAGACTCCTCCTGACCCCAGGCAGGGCAGCAGGAAGCCAGAGGAGAACCAACATCCACCTGCCTGCTGAAATGAGCTCAAAGAGTGGGTTTTGGCTGCCTTTCCCTGGGGCTAAATGGTTACAAAACTCAGTTTTCATAATGTTTGCACTGGAGAGCGACAGGGACCAGCCTCGGGCTGGATGAGCCAGGCTTTAAATCTGGATAGAAATCCCCTGGAGTTGGCCCATCTTCCTGGGTGTTTGCCTCCTGAGGGGGCTGCAGGGAACAGGCTCTTTGCTTTGAGCACTGATGGACATTTTGATGTTGAGCTGCAGGAGTGAGTGACAGCTCTTAGGGTTTAGTCCTTGGTCAGGCACAGCTGTAAACCTGACCAGCACTGGCCCTAATCCAGCAAAGCACTTAAACCAACCTTCTCCTGTGGATTTCACCCAGGCTTAGAGCAGGCAGGGCTGCAAATGCAAAGTGAGGATGAAGCACCAGGAGGGGAGGATGTGATGCTGCCTGAGTTTGGGGTCAGCAGCCAGTGATAGGGGAGGAGGGGAGCTCCCAGGACATCACCCTGGTGTTATTTACACACATTATTTCAGCATCCAGCCAGGCCCAAGGAGGCTTCTAATGATGATAACTGGTGGCACAGAGATGATTACCCTGAATTTCTCAAGTTTTGCAGTTCAGGTGTCATCATCTCAACTCTCTCCTTCTAAAAAATCCCACTGTGGGTTGATTTCCAAGATGAGTGAACCCAGGGCTTTGAGCTTTAACTGGGCAATTCTGTGGCAAGGAGAAGTTGGCATCTTGAAAAACAACGCCCACGTGGTGTTTCTGCCATTCAATAACAGAGGGAAGATAAAACCTGGGTTCAAATAAAATCTCAAGGCATCACAGGGCACACAGAGCTGCAGGCAGGTTTCCAGGCTGAGCTGGAAAGCAATAAACTCCAGCTGAATGCAGCAATTCCCACCTCGGGCTGAACTCTTCTGGAGGAGTTCTGGCCTGTATATGCCAATCTCCTTTTCCTGGATATAAAATGAAACATAAGACAGGTATAAATTCATTTGCAAGCACAGACAGGCTGGGAAAAATCAGAGAAGACACTCGCAGGAAGCAGCCTGGGCAATCCTTTGGAAAGGCTTTGCACTGCTCCTCTGGGAGAACACGTCTCATGGATTTAGTTCCAAGGTACTCCATGCTTAAGCCATTAGATGTGCATAATAAATCCAGGGAAATCCCTAAACCCCTTTCTGTAGGTCAATTCTGGGAGTGTTTAACACTTGGTGCGGCTGAAGGGGTCAAAGGCTTCGAGTGTGCGAGTTGTCCTTCCACGAGTTGATGTCTCACCTCCAGCCCCAAGTGCTGTGTCTGAGCTGCCCCAAGAGCCTTCCCTGGCCTTGATTCTCCCAAAAAGAAGGACATTTGGAGGTGCAGACACTGCACACTTCAGGCTCTTCCTAACTTTTCCTTGTGTGCCTCCTCTGGGGAAGCTCCAGCACATCCAACCTGGTTAAGCCACCGAGCTGCAGCGCTCGTCACCTGACGAAAACCCTCAAGACCTGGTGGCACCAAGACTCATTTAGCATAGTTAATTGCAGCCCTAATGAACATGAATCTTGCCCCCCCTGTGGTTTTGACATGATTGCTTTCTCTGCCTGTTCTCATTGGAAGTCTCCGGACAGGATATTCCGGCCTGGCTCTGTGTCGTACCCAAGAGGCTTCTCTGGAGATGGGTGTGATGCAACAAGGCATCTCCTCTCTCTCCCATTGGTCCATGGCAATCAACCATTGAAGCAAACCCATCCCCCAGAAGATTCCTGTGCCCTTCTCTGTGCCCTGAACAAGGTGAGAATGGAAACAGCCTCTTCTTCTGGTTTCCACATCAGGACCAGAGGTTTCCATGGTTCTCAATGTAAATACCAGCGTGGGGACCTCACCATCTCCTGTGCATCTCTGCCTCTCAATGGCTTCAATCCACAGCCTGGTTGCCTCCAGTTCAGAGAATCTTAGACTGGTTTGGGTTGAAAGAGACCTTAAAGAGCAACTTGTTCCACCTCCTGCCATGGGCAGAGACATCTCCCACTAGCCCAGGTTGCTCCAAGCCCCGTCCAACCTGGCCTTGAACCAATCAGTTCAAACTGCCCAGTTCTCCTACAGCTTCCTATCAAGCACAGACATCATGGTTAACGAGCTGATGCTCCTGCCAAACCCATTTTTCACCATGAATCTGTTAGAAAGTTTCCAAACCACAAGCGAAAACCAAACCACGCAATGACAGTGTCACTGCCCACAAGAAAATCAGAATTCTTTACAAAATTCCTCATATCTGGCTGCAAGCAGCAAAAACTCCTCAGCCTTGCATGGGAACTTGTCAACCCCTTCTTCTAGCCATGAGTGAGATCCTAAAATCCACTCTTCTCCCCCCCGAGATGCTACAGTGTCTGTAACACCAGGTTTGGCAGGACTGACTCGCTGGAGCCCTGATGTGAGCTGATGTTTCCCAACTGATCCCTCTTCCCAGCCTGGTTTGGTGCTGAAAACAGTAGTTTTTAGTGTTGTTCCTCTCTGACTGTGTTGGACAATCGTTGCTTTGCTGTGGTGACAGCACAGGGCCCTGGGCTGTGCCCGACAACCAAACAACTCCTCCAGCAAGACAAATATTTTGCCGTCTCCAGATTCTGCATCGAGCAAAAATAACTCTCAATTCCCTTCTCAATTAGTTAATGTCATGAAGGGCTGAAATGTGCATCTAATTGTGCCTTTCTTACCTCAAATTATCTCTGGGAAGCAGCTCAGTCTGTGCCAGTCCCCTAGTACCACAGATCACAGCCAGGATGGGGACAACGGGGCAGCACATCCTGTGAGGTCCTCAGAGGGAAGGGAAAAAGGGTTTTGGGGGGGAAAAAGGGAGAGAAAGAGATGGCAAAGGCAGAGGAAGGGAAAACTCTGGGCCATGGGGCAGGTGGCAGGGACTGGAGAAGAAGTGGGGCTGGAAATTCAGAGGATGCTCCAGCCCTAAGGCATGTGGAGAAATACATTTAACTGCAAAGAGAAAATAAGCCAAGAAGAAAAAAAAGAACATTTGCTCGTGGACTAGAACTCGTTAATGGTGACAGATCTAAACTGGGGAATTATCCTTTGTTTCCCAATGAGCCCTCGGAAAATACTGAAGCAGAGAATTGACTGGGACAGTCTCGAATGCCCCTCGTGCAGAGTCACGGTGACCCTGTGCACCCACGGGCGGTGGCTTCGTCCCCCTTGGTGGCTCTGAGCCGTGGGGAGGGGGGGTGACACCCACGCTGGCTCCTGGGGAGTCCGCCAGCAGCTCTCCCTGCCTGTCAGCTCTGCTTTTTTCCTCTCTCTGGGCGATGAATAACGAGAATAAAACCAAGAAAGCAAGTGGTGTGACAGTCAATTACTGCCTGTGATTAACCACCCCAGAGCAGACCCTGCTCAAAACACCACTTGATGCTCCTTTTAAGCAAAACGGTTCCTCCGGAGCGCGGGATGGACATGGAAACGGGAAAACAAAGGAACTGCTGATTTATTTTCTTGTTTTCTTATGGAGTCACAGCTTCCCTAAATGTTAATGACTCCCCCACACACAGGATTTGCATATAAGCCTGCACGTATTGCTCTTGTTAGGGGAGGTGTTGGGATTTTGAGGGAAGGAGTTATCCCAAACTGCCCAAATGTCAGGAGAGGGATGAACCCAAAGTGAGGGTTCTCAGTGGGGCAGGATTTAGTTCTGGTGGTGAGCGTGTTTTGCCATAGTGTGATTTTATTTTTGGACAGATTTCCCCAGGAAAGCTGTGGCTGCCCCATCCCTGGAAGTGTCCAAGGCCAGGTTGGACAGAGCTTGGAGCAACCTGGGCTAGTGGAAGGTGTCCCTGCCCATGGAACGAGATGATCTTCCAGGTCCCTTCCAACTCAAACCATTCCATGACTCTATTTTTCCCCCCCTCCCCTGGAAAACTGCATCTCCAAAAAGCTCAGGAGTTACCTGAAGGTTTACAGAACCATGAGATGAGCAAAACATTATTTCTCTTTCTCAGCCCTCCTGTGGGTCTCACAGAGCCCAGGAGATTCCAGCCTGTGTGTCACTTCCCACTAAACCTTCTCAATGAAGGTCCCGTTTAGAAACACTTCATGATTATGTATTAAATGATTATTAGAAGCCATGACTGTGCATTCTTAAACAGCTTATTGTAAATCATCCTGCAATAAAACACCTCAAAAATAAACTCTCAACTGCTGATGCTTTAATAAGCTGCAATAAAAACACATATCAGAGCTTGTAATGCTGCTGAGCTTAAGGCAGCTTTAAGGAGCTAATTTAAGTCTGATTGACACCTTCAGCCTGCAGACACTTAGGCAAGGCAGCAGGAGTGATGCCCCTATTTGGGGATGCTCAACTCAACGGGATCCCAGGTTGTGCAGGAGCAGGAAAACCCCTCAGATGTTAAAAGGTGGGCAGAGAGGGAAGCCTGAGGCATCCTAGCTGCTGGGAAAGGGGAGGTTGTGCAGGGAAGGACGAGCAAGGCTGAGCCACTGGCTGCACAGGGAAACTTGGGGGTAGGAGTGGTTTTACCAGGTGAAATTCCCAAGTTTCTGGGTTTTTCTGCATAAGCAGCCTGGCACATGCACAGCTGGGACACGGGCAATGATGGATGTTCTGGCAGAGGGAAGGAGTCAGGAACCAACCCTGCATCCCGATGGATCTGCAGCCCCCCAGGGCAGGGCTGAGCCTCCTGGGTGTGCCTTAAACCCCAACAGGAGCAGCCACTGGTTCTCTGTGCACCCCCTGCTCACAGCCAGCCCTGATCTTTCCAGCATTTCACTCCCATAACAAGGAGGATTTGGGGAGTGTGAGGCAGAGCTCAGGTGTCCCCTCCAGCCACGGTCACCCCGGGAACCCCAGCACTGGGGCCATTCTCAATCCAATTATCTGCAGAGTTGCAGCATCTTCCCTTGGCCAGGATGAGAGAGGAGCCAGCCAGATCTGTAACTCTCCTGTAGCCCTGCTTTTTATGAGTGTTTAGCACAAGCTCCTCAGAAAACAAACAAACAATCTGTAAGAGCAGAGGAGCTGCTGGAACACCAAAGGCTGCCCTGGATGCCATAAAGAGAAATACCTGTAGACTGCAGCAACTGGCTCCAAGGGATGTTTGCTGGGAGACAGAGGGAGGGTTCAGCAAAGCAAAGGGAACTTCAGGGCAGGTGGCTCATCAGAGCCCCTTTCATGCTGCAAAACTACTTTCCCTCCATCGTTTCTCTGAACAGGGAATTTTGCCTTGGATTGGATTGTGGCTGAGCCCAGATTGCACTTGGATGATACCTTTTGTTCCTCACATGGAAAGGACTGAAGGAACTCAACCCTGATGGAGATCACAGCCCCACTTTTGAAGAGTCCAAGCACTCCTGCTGCCTTTGCTTTTCCTTGCAGGAAGGGTTTCTATGCAGAGAAATCAATCCAGGGAAGGAAAAGGCATTAAAATGGTGCAAAGAGCTTTCACAGCTGAGCAGAGTAGCTCTTGGTCTACCATTTACTGCTCAGAAATAACTAAGCCACTTCTCTGAGTGCCTGGAGACCTTGACACCAAGAGAGGCCACCCAGCGTGGCCAACTGGGACTTACAGGCACAGGAGGGTCATAAAAAAGCCAGATGTTAATGACAAAATCATTCCCCCGTGATCGCTCAGAGCCTGACACAGGACCTGCACAGCACTGAAGCATCATATGGTCCCTCTGGGGCTTAAAAAAAAATGCCCTGTCACATATTACAGCATCAAATTGCCCTGTTTCATCAGGGAACTGAAAGTCAAGGGTTATTCCCTGGGAAATAGGTCTCCTTGAGAGGGCTGTTCCAGCAAACAGGGCACCAGCACTGCCCTAATGCCCCACCAGCACCACAGAGCCCTGGGGTCCAGCAGCAGCGCTGCCTCCCCCAATTAGTGCTCTGGTAATTGGTTAGGAAAGCAGCCAGGCCGATCTGATATTTGGATGGCCCAAAATGGGAGGATGCAGTGAAAGAAATTTCCTGCCAGAGCTCCTCTGCAGTCAGGAATCGTGCCAGGGCTCCGCGGGCAGGAGGCTCCCGGCTCTCAGCACATGCTGGAAGTGTCCCCCTGTCTCCTGCCTGGGGGACCAGAGGGGGGGGGGGGGGGCTGTGGTGCACACTCCCCATTTTCCCAAAAAAAAAAAAAAAAAAGCCACTTTTACACCTGATATCTGACTTTATATTGGGTTAGATATAAGGAAGAAGTTTGTTAGAATTAGGGTGGAGAGGCCCTGGCACAGGTTGCCCAGAGAAGCTGCTCCATCTCTGGAAGTGTCCAAAGCCAAGCTGGATGAGGCTTGGAGCAAGCTGGAAGATGTCCCTGTACACTGAAGGGGTGCTGGGCTAGATGACCTTTAAAGGTCCTTTCCAACCCAAACCATTCCATGATTCTGTGATGCCTGAAGGCATCAAGAGACCCTAACAATAAATCCAAGAAAAACCTCGCCTCAGAAATCCTGTCTGCACCTGATTTTCTGTATTTATATAATCCAATTGAGGTTAAGCCATGACCCAAGGGAAGAGCAAAGGTCTGCACAGTGGGAGCTCCTGGCCCTCTCTTTCCAGCCCAGTTGTGTGGGCTCCTGATGGATGACTCTGACAAACATTCCCATTTGGGGTTTCCATCCAAGCACAAAACCTGACCCTGCTGTTGTGACCCAACGAGTGGCATCAGCGTGGCAAAAAGATTTACAGCCTTTTGAGGCACAAGAGAGCAGGAGGCTGGAAAGCCATCCCTGGGGAAGGTTGGGAGAGGAGTATCCGTCTCCGCTCTGCTCCCGGCCTGGCCCATCCATCCTGTGGAGCAGCACGGGCAGAACTGCCTCCAAATCTCTATTAACCCCCACTAATGTGGCAGCCCCGGCCCACAGCTCCATCAAAGTGTCAGAATATGAATGGAATTAGGATTTGATGGAATTGCAGTTCCAGCAGAGCAGTGACAGCAAGGGCAGTACAAATATGGATCCTCATCCCATCTCCTGTGCCTCGCCGGAGCAGCCAGAGATAAATTTCCTGATGGCTCCAGGAGCTGAGCAGTATCAATACATCTCACGTTTCCATCTTTTCTAAGGACACAGAGCTTAGGAGGTACCCACTGCCAGTTAAACCTAAATACTGCCTGTGCTTCTTGAAACCCTGGGGACTGCAAAGAGAAAAAGACAGAAGGACAAACTGCTCCAGTTCTGGATCTCACTGTGGTCCTGGCCCTGGAGATCACCTGGCTCTGTTATTCTCACCAGGCTGGAGCTTTTCCATCGGCAAAGACACCAACCCAGAAGCCCTGGTGAGGGGCTGCCAAGATGTGGCTGTACCATGGAAGGTGAATTTTGGCTCAGAGCTTTTCCCCAGGGATCTGCTGCCCTGCACGTGCCTGAACCCTCCGGGACCAGCTCCAGTTCTCCATCAGCCTCATTAAAGCCTCAAGTTCAATTTGCCACATTTAACACGAGACTAAATCCCAGAATCAGGGGATCAGAGAGTTCTAAATGAGGGGCTGTGCACGGCAAAACCTGAGGTTTGCACCTCGTGGTTTGCAGGCACGGGGCAGGAATCCCTGCCAGGAGAAGCACGTGGCCCAGAGCCCTCCACAGCCCCCATCAACTCCTTTGAAATCTTATTATTAATAATTAACCACGTTCCACTGCATTATCTCTTCTCAGCCCCTTCAGTGCAACTTCCCCGTCTCTAGGATTTGAAAGGGACTGGGAGTGACATCAAATGTTAATACTTAGGGACAACACTGAAGTAAATAGATAAAAGCATCCCACCCCTTCCTTGCTCCAGCTCATCATTTATTCTGTTTTCACATCCTCCATACGCTCGTTTGGCAATGACAAAGTTGCATCTTTTGCAAAACACAGAAATACAAGTTGGCTCTGAATCGTGACTAAACAGCCCCTTGAAGGATTAAAAATAAGGGGAAAAGCAGAGTTTTTCTCCCCCCCCCTCCAAACCGGATTCTAGCACATTAAATCTCAGCTGAAGGTCGAGAGAGTGGAGAGAGAACATTTTGGTGCTGCAGGAAGGATGTGCCAAAGGAGACATGGATGCTGTGGGACATGGTCAGGGATGAAGCATTTTGTTGTTTTACTCTGATTTCAAGAAATAGCTGCAAACAGTAAGAACAGACTTGAACTAAATCACCAGGGGGTAGATCCGGCAGCAGATCCAGTGTCTGCTGTGCCTGAGAGAGATTAGGAATTCAAAGCCTGTTCTCCCTCTTTCCAGGCTCCAGAAAACACCCTCAGACCTCCCTGGGCACCACGTTACTGGTACAAAAAAATCCAGTGAACACCTTCCCATCCCTGGAAGTGTCCAAGGCCAGGTTGGATGGGGCTTGGAGCAACCTGGGCTAGTGGAAGGTGCCCCTGCCCATGGCAGAGGAGTGGGATGAGATGAGCTTTAAGGTCTCTTCCAACCCAAACCATTCTGGGATTTCATTTAAAAACTAATCAGTAAAATAATATGCAAAAGGGAGCAGATCTGGGTGAAGCACAGGGGAGGCTGCAGGACGTGCAGTGCCTGTGGCTCACTGGAGTTCATCCACTGAGT